CTTGGATTATTTTGATACATATTCACCAGTCACAAGAATTACATCCATTACATTGTTACTAGCTATTGCAGCATTGCAAAATTTAGAAATACATCAAATGGATGTTAAGACTGCCTTCTTGAATGGTGAATTAGAGGAGGAAATCTATATGGAACAACCTGAAGGTTTTATAGTTCCAAGAAAAGAAAAGAAGGTGTGCAAGCTTGTAAAATCCTTATATGGATTGAAACAAGCACCTAAGCAATGGCATGAAAAATTTGACAAAGTGATGTTGTCAAATGGTTTTAAAATTAATGAGTGTGATAAACGTGTTTATGTGAAAAACACTCAAAATAGATATGTCATTATGTGCCTATATGTGGATGATATGCTAATAATGGGTAGTAATGATATTATAATCAAAACTACTAAAAAGATATTGACCAAAAATTTCGATATGAAAAATTTAGGCATAACTGATGTCATACTAGGAATCAAGATTTCTTAAACATTAAATGGTCTAGTATTATCTCAATCTCACTATATCGAGAAAATATTAGAAAAGTTTAATAAGAAAGATAGTAGTCTTGTAAAGACTCCTATTGATGTAAATTTTCATTTATCGAAAAATACTGGTTCTAGCATATCACAACTTGAGTATTCTCGCATTATAGGAAGCTTAATATATTTGATGAATTGCACACGACCAGACATAGCATACTCAGTTAATAAATTAAGTAGATATACAAGTAATCCAGGAAAGAACCATTGGATTGCAATAAATAGGGTTCTAAGGTATTTAAAATATACCATAAGTTATGAATTACATTATTCTAGATATCCAGCAGTACTTGAAGGATACAGTGATGCTAATTGGATATCAGATACGAAGGATTATAAATCCACAAGTGGCTATATCTTTACTATTGGAGGAGGTGCCATATCTTAGAAATCTTCAAAACAAACTTATATTGCTAGATCTACTAGAGAATCTGAATTTATTGCTTTAGATAAAGTTGGTGAAGAAGTTGAGTGGCTTCGTAATTTCTTAGAAGATATTCTAAATTGGCCTAAACTTATACCCACTATATGTATACATTGCGATAGTCAATTAACAATTGAAAGGGCACAAAGTAATATGTATAACGCTAAGTCTCGACATATACGTCGACGACATAATACCGTTAGACAATTGCTCTCAAGTGGGATAATCTTAATAGATTATATCAAGTCAAAAGATTATTTAGCGGAACTGTTTACAAAAAGGTTTGACAAGAGAGCAAGTGTATAGTTCATCGAGGGGAATGGGATTAAAGACGAAAGCTAACGAGTCATCTTAATGGAAACCTAACCTAGTTGACTGGAGATCCCAAGATCTAGGTTCAAAGGGACAACAGAAATTTTGAATGGCTCACCAGAAGCACTGGGAAGATTTAATCTTCTACCTATTTCTATGATGAGACAGTGCTACCTACAGCGATGAGTAGGATAAGCTATGCTTTTAATGACTCTTATACCTTGAAAATTCAAATGGGGTATAGTAGGATACTCTTAATAAGATGTCACCTATATGAGTGTGAAGTGGGGCCGCTTTTATGAGAACTTCTAAGGCTAAGTTTTCTAGAGCACTCATGAAATACTAGGAGTTGTTTAGGGCCACAACTGTGAGAACTGACTTTGTGTGGGAAGGAACTGTGTGTTTGCTATTGTCTTGGTTTACATCAACGACTGAACAGTTCAAGATATCATATTCACTAGTTAGCTAGTAAATCCGATAGTGATACACTAGGGAAGGTTCAAGGCTAAAAGCTACCTATCCCGATACAGTTACTTTCTAATAGTACTTTCTCTAGTGTCTGTATCTTTTTCATTTGCAATTTACGCAAATTTCCATTCATGTGGGGGATTGTTGGAAACAGGGGCATTAAAAACATAAACTTTGGAAGAGATTTTGAATAGATTTCACTAAGAATTTTTTGCGGATCTATAGACAAGCTCATTCCTCTCTGCAAGGAGATGAACGTGGTATATTTACTTTCTCAAATCCGTTTCCGGGTGAATGAGAAATTAGTTCTAAAGTAAGGTGTTTGACAAAGCCTAAATGGGTTTGCAAAATGTGAGAAATGTTTGTCCCACATCGAAAAATTATTAAAACCAATTTAAGTTTAAATAAGCCTAGTATGGGATTTGGGTTTGGGCCCAAGGGCACCCAAGTTTTTAAGAGGGGGAGGACCTAGGCAAGCTTGGGTCTGAACCAACTACCACGCACGCGCGTGCTGCCCGCCCGGTCCAGGGCGGGGCGGGGCTTGATTGTGAAATATGTTTAATTTTTTATTAAACTAAATTGGGCTTGTGTGATTGGATTTTAATTTTATTTTTGTTGGGCTTATTAAGATGGCCGAATTAGGCTTGTTTGCTGGGCTTCATAATGGATTAAAACAGTTTTGGTATTTAATTTAAATTAAAACCATAAAACAGTTTTTATGAACCAATGGTTGCACCCTTTTGCAAAATAAACCACCAACAGTTTTTTCCAGAACCATTGTGAACCAATGGTTGCACCCATTCAAAAAAGGCACCCTCTAGCCTATAAATACCTCTCATCAGGTTCATTCTAAATCACACCAAAATTCAAAGAATTCGTATCTTCTTCTAAATTTTTTTCTTCCTCCTCTCTCTTTAGTCTGTGGGTTCGAGTCTTAGAATTTGGGTTCGAGCCTTAGTCAGTCACTCCGAGTCCGAGTTCGAGTCAGAGAGTACTACACCGAGCTGGTTTGCCTATTCATTTGGTTTGCAGTGCTACTACCAAAAGAAGACAAGTCGTTGTATCCTGGGAGATAGACGCCACTGAGTCCGTTAACACCATAGCGGAGCGAATCTGTCTTAAGGACATAAAATTAAATTCTAATCTCGACTTTTAATCAGTTTCATTTATTTTATAGTTTTATTTGATTATATTAAACTATATATTATAAGAAATTATATATTTATAAATTATTGCTTTATATTTACAGATAATATTTAAATAAATAATACTATAGTATATAGTATAATTAAACCATATTTTGGATTACAAATCATTCAACATTTCCCCCTAGGTGTGACATTCTTTTTGGTCAAACACGTACGTGTTTCAATTTTAATTATCAGGGTGACGGTGAAACTTGGATTTATGACCTTGTCTACTTTGATACCATTTTAACAACCTTCTACTTTAAAAACTTAAGTTATGAATGTAACTTTTACACTTAAAACCTTCAACAAGTTTCATTGTGAGTTTTACATAACATATTTTTATTTATTTTCTTTGGTGCCTAATCAAATATATTGTAAACTATATGGTTGTGGAAATAATAGATGAGCAACCATACAGAATTTGTGTGGGGCATGTGTGTGGAGTGTGGACGTGAATGCGTGTATATTTGTGATGGTGAGGAGAAATTAGCACTTGACATGTAAGTAAATGTGTTATGTTTGTGTTAATTTTATTCAGTTTTTTGTTTACGTATTAATTAATGAAAAATTGGAGTCAATAATTTCAGGATCTAATAATAATTTTTCATTAATACGTAGGTAGGTGGGTTTGGCTTAGTTGTGTGTGTGAGAGAGAGTTCCATTTATATGCATGAAATGGTCTCAGTATTTTGCATTTTATTTTATTATCTGTTGATGTTCTTTTCCACTTATAATAGCTTTTTATGGTGTGTTTGAATTAACTAAGGAGTATTTTTTATAATTACCAATAAGCATCAGCTCAAATGATATGATTTTGTAAAGAAGGTTGAATGTTGGAGTCTGGCTAAGAACAATATTATAGGTGTGTGCATATGCTTAAACTATCGAGAAAATATATTTTAAAGATTGGTTGTATAAAATGTTAGAAAAGCTAAATATATATAGCCTACAAAACCAAGAAAGATAATGACTATGTTTTCTTTGTAAGTCATTTTTCTTATAATAAATACTCAACGTCAAAACTCATTTCTAATATATATAATTTACACACACAAATACAAACGTATTTAAATGAATACAAGCCAAGGGACATCTATACAAAAACACATACGTACACACAACATAGAGATATATACAGACACACACTTACATATACATGCACATATACTCATAGTCTCATATACATGTTTACATACTATATGACGGGATTATATTCATGTTTGTATACTGTTTTTTAAATTTCAAGTTTCAACAAAAACAGAAAAATATAAATAAAATAACAGTATGGAAAATTAATTTTTTGTTTCTAAAAGTTAGATTAAACATTTTCTAATGTATATGATTTCATGTAGAAACAAAACGAAAGTTATATTTTGTTTCTGTCCATTAAGACTTTTACATTCAATATAGTCAGAAAAAGTAAATTTCAAGCACCCTTATTAATTTTTAAATTATTTTTTTTCATCAATTAAAATCAGTCCGTATATATATGTTTTTATGACTATTTAATATCATGTTTCTACTTTATAAAATTAATGTAGTGTCAAGTCTTTGTCTGCACCAAAGAAGCTAAAATAGTGATGGGCTTTGCATTATTAAAAAATGATGATGGAATTGAGAGACCAGAATTCTTCATGAGTTGATGTTTTATATGGACTTCATTGAGCAACACACACACCTGTGTGTGGCTCACAAAACAGTACATGTCATAGGTCATAAAGTATCAATATATGAGGATAAATGGATAATACAGATATGTGTATGTGTGTGTGTGTGTGTGTGTGTGTGAGAGAGAGAGAGAGAGAGAGAGAGTATTTGATCTGAGTCCCAGGAAATTGAAACCTGAGTTTTCTAATATTAAGAATGTCAGGATGAAACTCATGATCTAAGAGATGAAATCACTAAAAGAGAACTCAATGAGATTTTAGAAAATAAAATTAAGACAACGAAATCAGTAAAGACACCAGCAAAACTAATATGTCATGCTGTTGAATACAAGCAATTTGACACACACACAACACACACACATATTTATAGCATCACTGTAAGAAGTACCATAAAAGACATGAAGAAGAATAAATCAATACAATACCATATGAATTCAGGTAATACATAAAATTTATCTTCAATTACCAAAATATCTTTACACAAACTCACATAAATCACTTTCTTCAGAGAATAACAGTAACTGAAGTTCTTCTTCTTCTTCTTCTCTAATGCTGCTTATTAATTTTATCATATAGATTTCAATAATTCCATAGATAATCAAACTCAAGGGGTCCCACAGAAGTTGATGGAGCCTCTGGATCATCAAATGGCCTCTTTCCCATTTCAAGATTGGATAAAACTGAGGAGATCTCAGTGTTCACATCAGTGCTTAAGCCTGTTTCTTGAGAGGCACTAACCATCTCCTTCTCTGTTTTGAAGCTCTGTCCCATGTTTGGACCATAATTCTCAATCAAACCCCTCAACATTGCTTGGTTTTGCATTGAAAGCGAATCCGGGAATGGGAAATTCCCTTGAACCGGAGGAGTTTGAGCCGAATAGAAGGAGTTGGGAAGAGAAATCCTTGGGAAAATGTCCAATGGATTCGGAGAGAAAGGAAAGAGAGGATTGTTGATGTAATCAATCCTCTCTTCCTCGTTTTTGTGAATGTCAACGAAATTGGAGAAGCAGGGCACGTGAACGGATTCGGATTCAGCAGCTCTAGTTCTGCCACCACCACCATAAGGCAGAGTGTCCATTAATGGAGGCAGAGCAGAAGAACCCAACTCGTTCCCGGGAGAGTTCAATCTCACTAGTCCTGAGATATGGATTTTCCTCCCACAAGAACTCTTTTGGAAAACCCTACAAATCACCCACTCATTCTGCAATACAATAGAAGAAAATCAATTAGCATCACAGAAGGAAAACAGGGGAAAACAGAGGAAAAAAGAGGGAAAAGGGAATGGAATACCTTTGCAGTTTTGGGGAGGTTGTGGAAAGAGAGTCTACCCTCCAGTCTGTACTCATGCATGACCCAATTGGTTTTCTCTCCTTTGGGTGCTCTTCCTCTGTAGAAAACAAGGGTTTTCTTCATCCCAACAAGCGATTTCCCCCGGAAAATCTCCTTATCTTTTCCGGTGGCTTTCCAGTAGCCAGCTGCAGTAGCCCTATTTGTCCTCAAACCAGTAGGGTATTTTCTGTCTCTCACACAGAAGAAATACCATTCCTTCTCACCCATCTTTGCTCTCCCTTTTTTCCAATCAAAAGAAACATTAAAAATTAGTAAAAACCACTTCATACAATTCTCAATATATAAACAGAAACAGAGAGAAAATGAAAAGGAAAATGAAAAAATAGGGTTCAAAAACCTTACATGGTAAATCCCAAGGCTCAACCTTGTTCAAGTCAACCTCTCCAATTGCTTTGGCAGAGAAGTTGCTGTCAACAACCTTGTTGGATAGATAATGAGTGATCAGCTCTTCATCGGTCGGATGGAATCGAAATCCGGGAGGCAATTCCATCTGCTCATCCTCCTTTTCATGCCTAGAAATGTTCTCCATCATTTCAAAACTTTGTATTCTTTTTTTTATCTAAAACCTCTGAAATTCAGAAACTGGGATTTGATCAAACAAGCTATGAACCACACTACTCACCCATAAAACCTATCACCAAAGCTTAAAACTACTCAACCTCAAATGGGTAATAACTAGAAAGCTGTGATTTTTATTGAATTGGAAGAAAAAGTGGAAAGGAAAGCAAAGGAAAGGAAAGCTAGAAGGAAATGGGAAGGATAGAGGAAAGGATAAGAGAAGCCATGGATGGAACTAAATTGGTGTGATCAGATAGAGGAAGAGATGTTAATAAAGAAATTAAAAGCATTACGAGGAACAGCAGCCCCTAAATACTGGTGTTTGGAGAGATAGAAACGTGGTCCGTAAGGAATTGGGAAGGTTGTTTTGGCCCTCCTTTTTGCTTTGTTGCAATAAATCCATATAGGCCAATTACAGCTCATCTCAACCCCATGCATGTAAATTTCAATCTCAGAACTATTTTGATTGTATAATTTTTTTTTTTTTTTAGATCAGTATTCAATTTTTTTTGTTTTTTTTTTTTGGTTTTTGAAAGATGATAAATGTGTTCTTCCTTCAACCAAATGCACTCTTTTTTCTTAATATAAATGACTAACATGCCCATAGTACCTGATTTTCCTATTTATGAATTAGGGGCATTTATTTCATTTCATTTCAAGAGTAGAGTGCACCTAGATAAAGTGGGAATACAACCGGTGAATCAGACCCTTACTTTTCAAAGGAAAGTCAGTTCAAACCTCCATATTGGCATATGTGTGTGAATATGGAAAAAAAAAAAAAAAAAAAAAATGAAGAAGGTGGAATTGCGGGTTTTTTATTTTTTTGGGTAATCAATGAAATTTAATATGTAGATGATGGTGCATAAAAAGAAAAAAAAAAAATTTAATGAAATAGTTCAAAAAAAATGTGAACATGATGTTACCTTCTCAGTTGTTTCAACAATACACCAGAATTATCCACCATTCATTATAATAAATTTTGAAGACATAACCATATTTTGTTTTATTTATATTAATTAGTGTTAAACAGCTGTGAGAATGTGTAGAGAATTACACAACCTCTACATCAGCAACCCAAAGAAATAAGTGTAGCTTTAGTTTCATTCCACAAATCGAAATGACCATTTTGACCCCATACTTTGCTTGTGAAAAGGAATATAAAATTAATAACGTTTAACCAAATTTTCGTGCTTTATCTCTTCAAATGTGACACGGGCAAGTGGAGCCGGTATAAAAGTCAATCCTTAAAGAAAAGATAAGTAGAAAAACCTAGAAAAACAATGGGTCATTTTAGAGTTTAAAATTGATTAAAATAAAAATAAAAATTAGAGCTTAAAATAAATGGATATTGAAGTATATGGAAGTACAATGTGATGTTAAATTAAATGTATGGGAGGTATATTTTATTATAGTCCTTGCAAAACTAGAATTGTTGGCATAGATTTCAAATAATTTTGTAATTTGCATAATCTTGTTTTTTAAAATCCACACATTATATTCTCTTTAATATGCATATGTTGCTAAAACTTAGTTGAAAATTACTAAAGAAAATTACTAAATCTTATTCTAAACTTTACTTATTAAATAGTTAAGAGGTTGGGTTGATTCTCATTATCTTTGAGAGTTCGGTCGCACCTCTAATTTCTAATCTAATAATCTTACTTTGAAAAATAAAAAATAAAAAAAAATCTAAATCTATTTGAAATCCTTATTCAAAATAGAGCCTAAAAAAATAGAGATTAATTTCAACCATAATTTTCACTTCCAATAATAAAAAATAATACAGATAGTGACAGACTAACAAATTCACGATACATTCGTTCCTGTTTTTTAGTTTAAGTTGAAAAACAAAACTCCATATATTTTATATCTTTCTCTATCATAAGATCCATTTAAAAGTTAAAATTCAAACTTGATAAATCAACTTCTAATCAAAACTTTATTTCAAATCTTAGGGAAGAGCACGTGTAGGTTATTAAAAGTTGAAAAAATAAAAAAATAAAAAAATTGGGTAACAATGAGAGTAGGGTAGTAAGAGAGAAAAATGGAGTGGAAGACTTGACTTTGGATGAAAATGAAAATGGCGGTGGATCTTGTGTGAAAATGAGTGGTGGGGTAGGAAGAGAAACTTCTAATTATTTATGAATATGAGTGATGGTATGGTTGCCCCTTTGTTTTAAACACTTCTAATATATGCATTCTAAATTTCAATTTTGTGAGTTTTTCCAATCAAAACTATAAACAAATTAAAGCTATATTTGGAAATTAAAAAATACTACATTTAATCTTAATTAGTGCAAAAGGGTAATAAAATGACATTTTTTTCTGTTAAATAATACATCCACTTATTTTATCCCACATAGACTTTGAACCCACAAACTTTAATAGTTTCTTTTTTTCTTTTTTAACAAATTGATTAGTCAGGTAAGTGACTCTCACATATTTTGCCGACTTTAAGCTCAAACTCTTACCCTCTCTTTTTAAAGACGGAGAAGTTATACAATTAGGCTAGAGGCCCTTTAATGAACATGATTTGTTCTTAAAAATAAATAACGTAAGTAATTGTCATTTAATTTCTTTTCGATGCATTTTCTAAGAAGTTAGAAATCAGTTGCAGATGAGGTGAATGGAAGTTGTTAAAGATTACTCATATACAGTGTAAACTAATTAATGCATCTTGCATATAGACAAAGGAGAAGATAAAAGAAACGTGAATCGATCTTGAGAATCTATACACGATTGTTTTAGATTTAATTGATGGTAAAAGAAACGTGAATCGATCTTGAGAATTCACATACGATTGTCTTAGACTTAATTGATGATAGAAAAAAAGTGAATCAATCTTGAGAATCCATGCAAATTTGTCATAGAAAAAGGTCAATGCGAAAAGATGGATACGAGTAATCTATCTCATTACATGGACTAAAGCTTATTATGCATTTATTATGGAGATAAAAGTCATGAGATAAATAGGATAGTGTCAATCTTAATGGTGTCAGTCACTTATTTATGTAATGCAACAATATTTGAAAAATATGCAAAAGTTGTCCATTCAATTCCAAAAATGCAAAAGTTGTCCACTCAATTCCAAAAATGATATCGTAATGGTGTTTATATCTGAGCATGCACAATTAAGCAAGAAATTATAAAATACGCACTTTGCATTTAATACTCTCTGTCCCAACAAAAATTTGTTCCTTTTTTAGAGGGTAAATTTTCAAATATACCCTTCTACGTTCACATACTTTTATAATTTCAAAATCAAAAGGGTAAATTAAAAATATTAAAAAAATAGTACATTAATTTTTTAAATAATATATTTATTTTGAACGGATAAAAATAAAAAGATTAACACTTTTCGTGAGAGGACTTAAGTAACTCAATTTTCACCATCTTTGCTAAGAAAATGAGAATACTTAGGGGTGATCACAGATCGGATCGGTTCGGTTTGGGGGTAAAGTTGAATCCGAACCAGTCCTAACGGATTGGAGAAATTTGAAACCAAACCGATCCGTGTGGACCTTCAATCCGAACTAAACTAATCCGTGAAATAACAGATCAGATCGGTTTGGGCAGATTGGGCTTTTCAAATAGCCCAATATAATTACACCATATGGCCCATTAAAATCTCAAATTAGTAATTAAAAAAAAAAAAATTGTAACATATACCTAATAACAACAATAGATTTTGTAAATTATATGCCTAATATTAGACAATATAAATTATCCAAATAGAATAATGAATAAAAAAATAAATAGAAATACAGTAAGTATATTCAATATTGTATATATATAGTTATAATATATTAATATATTATTTAGGCAATGGTTCGGATTGGTTTTTTCAGGGGTCAATCCGTTAACCGAACCGCAAATAACGGATTTTTATTTTTCTAAACCATCATTGAACCATGAGATCTGAAAGCCGAATCAAATTATGCAGATTGGATTGGTTTGGATCGAATTGACAAATTGACGGATTATTTGATCACCCCTAAAAATACTTTTGCCTATCAACATTCAAAACTTACAATAAAACTGGTTTATCAAAAGAGTAAATTAGAAATATTAAAAAAATAGTACATTAATTTTTTTAAAAATATATTTATTTTGAACAGATAAAAATAAAAAGATTAACACTTTTCGTGAGAGGACTTAAGTAACTCAATTTTCACCATCTTTGCTAAGAAAATGAGAATACTTATGCCCAGCAACACTCAAAACTTACAATAAAACTGGTAATAAACTTTTAAATCTAAAATGGTCATAACTAACACACACTCTCTCTCTCTCTCTCTCTCTCACACACACACACACACACACACACACACACACACACAAACGCATATACTTATGGTATAGCATCGCATGCATGTGTAAATGCATCTTCTCTGGTCTTATCTCCAATTGAAATTCAAGTCTATTCACATGCAATTTATGTAATTTGCCTTAGAATGATTATATTCCGTTTTGGTATTACATTGTACATAATGTCAAAAAGTAACAATACCTTTTCAGCTAACAAACCGAATCATTGTTTGACGCGTGTCATCTGTGCTATCTATGAGGAATTTCAATCGTATTGGAAACCTTCAACAGTTCAGATTTTAGGTGAAATAGTCAACGTCCATATCTGCCACGTAAGCATCCCAGTAAAGAGTATACAGTGCCGCCACACCCAATCTAAACCCAAATGAGTCTCGCCATTTGGCACCTTCTCACTCACTCACTCACTCACTCAGGAGGGTTTAACCAAGCCTAGATTAGTTTAATTAACTCAAGGGTTGACTGCTAACCTCAGGTTAGGTTCAAGCTGGCAATGTGGGCCCTGTTTCTTTTGTTCCAACATGTGGCATGAAAAGGAACAGTGACACGTGGCGGGATTTGGTAGGTGGAGAACCTTGGGAACTAAGGTGGAGGACTATTTAGAATTAGGCAATGGTCAGATTGTTTGAAGAATTTTTGAGATTTGCTTTTAGGAATTGCTAATCTTCCATTGCACTTTCTAAGGCTAGGAATAAAATAATAATGATTGACCATTTCATGCATTACCTAACTTGGATTATTTTACATGTTAAGGTACAATTCATAGTGGAAGCAATTTACAATATTTACAAATGGTGCGTGGCTTCTTTGTGATCACAAAAACACAAGTCATTGTGACCTATGCACCCAAAATTCACCACAGCCTTCCACTCTATTCATATTTTTAGAGTTTGACTTGGATCCAGGAAGTTATATAACCTTGTGTGTTAGGTATTTCTCTTTGGCTTGGAGTCGTATTGTCTGCGTGGCGTAATCTCCATCAGTGGGGCGTGACAATACAGTACATTTAGAGATTAGACTAGATTGATGGTTATGAAAAAGGAAAAAAGGTAC